AAAAAAAGGTTTTTTGTTAAATAGAAGTTTCGCTGTTTTTTACTTAATATATTTTATTTTTTCCGCTTCATCAAAACTAAATCTCTTTTCAGATTGAAAATAAGCTTGTCGACAACAACATCATTTTCTTCCACAATGACAGAAAAAAAAAAGAAAAAGGTGTCAATTCAAGTCGGATGAACATCCAACAGCTTATAAACAACTAGACAAAAACTTTTTTTTCTCTAGTCTTCATTTACAACTAACTCACAAATTAGAATATCAATTTAATCTTGTTATTAGTTTCTTAGAAAAAAAAAATCTACAAATATTTCAATATCAATCTTCACCATAAAGTAAATTATTTAGACACGTTGGATAATATATTAGTATCATTTGTGGAGGAAGGAACTTTTCTTTTCTTGATATTCTCATTAGTCATTGAGTAACACTGTTAAATAGTACATAAACGGATGCGAAGAAAGCATTATGAAAATTAAGAAAGTTATTGTTCTCCTTTTCTTCTGACTATTATTTTCCTTTTATTTTCACTAATTCATTAAAAAAAGGGCGTATGTGTTAATCTTCTTCTGATCTAAAGTTACACCCATACCCTTAAGTCTGATTATGAGAGTGATAGATTTTATCAGCACTGGCATTAAACATTTACATGTTCGTCGGTTATCTAAGTCATGGTATGATAGGAAATTTGGATGTTTTGAAAAACAAGACAATTGAAAATAAGATACACGCAAAAGCAGTCGTATATATTGTTTATTTCTAGCAATAAAAGTCTCTGTGGTGACTAATCTAAGGAAAAACATGGTTTTTTTTATATCTCACAGTCATAATAGTAATAGAAATCGTAAAATCTTTCTTTGAACAACAGTTCTAATCAGTCTAAGTCGATACCGATATGGCAGCAGGCTATAGATTGAAAAGAGTTGTAAAAACTGCGATGCTCGAAACAGGCGTCAAAATGGACAACTTTTTCATGGTATAGACTTGTCCGATTCGATAAAAATTTTGTTTACAAAGATTTCTTCTAGTTGTACTTGAAGATGATTTTGCCATCTTTGAAGAACTTGATACATGTAAACGAATATAACATGATATAACTTTCTGAAGACTTCTCACAAATGGAATCTCAAAAGGACAATCAATACATAAACGATTTTTTCGACACTAGTTAAAAACTTATCGACCATTTTACGACTCTATTTTTTGCTATGAAAAATTAAGTCTTGAGTCGAACTTTCATCCTAATTCCTCGTTTCGTTGTGATTTCTAGTTTATCTATTTATAAATAAATATCAGTAAGAATCATTAGTGTAATTGTCAGTCTTCCATATATACTATTAATTCAATAAGAATTATTACATTTCAATTCATTTTTCTTAAAAAGAATATTAATAAAAAAGTTGTTAGCACAAACACTGTGAAATTAAAATATGGAATAAACGAAACTGTGATGTGGTATAAAAAATAAAATAATCAGTATATGTTTCAATTTATGAATCTGTACCTATTGTAAATAAATGGTGATCGTGAAATGTATCACTTCCAATATAGTGCAATGAGTATGAAGGAAAAGTAAAGGGTAATTATCATACAAAGCTCAGTTCTTACATAAGAAGTACATCAACAAGATTCAAATGTATGGTTATTGCTGGAAGAAAATTTGAGTTAGTATCTGTTCGAGTCGAAGCCAGGAGCTGATAGAGACCAGATTCAGTCTTTTGTTCTTCGAGTCCACGAAAATGTACATCTGCAACTCGATAACTCCAACAGTCCGTTTAGATCGTGTTTGACAAAATTTTTAAAAAAAAGTTGTTTTATTATTCTTTTGAAAAAGCTTGTTAGCATAGTTCATTTAGTGTCGATATATGGAACTCATATATACCATATAAGATAGAATAGTTGCTAAGATCTATAATGGAGAGAGGAGTCGAAAACCTTCGATTTAAAATTTACACTCATTATATCTTTCGAAAATATATGAAAGTTCTACAAAAAAACACTTTTACATTAATTTAATAGAGTTGATTGCATAATATATTTTTCTATTTATCATGAGATAAAATCTTAATATCATTTTGATCATTAAATAGATGTATTAATTGTATTATTTATTCAACATTTTCAATAGATAAATTTGGAAATATTTTTAATCAGTCAGATTTATCTTAAAAGAAGTTTGCATTAATTTGTAATTCTGCGTCTCTTCTTTCTTGTATAAAATATATTCATTTTGATGGAACAAATTCACATTGTTATAATGCTATTTATCATTTTCTTTTATTTTTTTTATCATAATCAACAAGTTCTTTGTTTTTCTAATCTTAAATTTTTGAAAAAATGTCGAAAACTCAATTATGATTTCAAAGTAATTTTTGCCTAATTCGAAAAATAGAATAAATCGATAAAATTCGAGAGTTTGTTATTTATAGAAATCTTCTTCAACAGGTGTTTAAATTACTAGTCGGACACAAGCTTACCGAAAGTGGAACTAATTTTTTTTTTACCGACTGCCAGAATGAAGACTAGGAATCAGAGCGAAATCTAGATTTAAATGAGATGTGGTGTTACTCTATGCGATTCTGAATAAATTTCTTTATGAAAACCTCAACGATATTATGGACATGTCACATTTATCTGGTTCAGGTAACAACAAGGTGTGGGTGTGGGTGTGGGATGTGGGTGAAAAGAAAAGAAATACCCACACAACGTTGCTTACAAGAGTTTTGTAATTAAAGGAAAGCTTTCAATTAAGACAAATAAATCAAATAACGATCAAAAAAAAGAACATGAGAAAACAAAACAACCTAGGACGAAGATTACGACATAGTATGCTATCATATTCATATCAACTTCTTCTCACTCAACAGGAGGTGGAAGTTACTTTCTCTTCCCTTCGCCTATAAACACACGAAATATTATTTGTTTATTTAAAATAAATACTTACTATTGAATTCATTGCTGGATTCAAAATGCATGTGCTTGATAAGTGTAACTCTACTGATGAATAACTTCTGATCATACACGGTCGTTTACTATAGTCGTATGCGTTCATGGTATACGAAGAGCGTTTTTTTGGCCTATTTCGTAGTGTACGGCCGCTTATGATGGTGCCTTTTCGATCTGACAATTAGCACATTGTAGATTATCTAAACTCAGTATTTATTCTCATATTGATACATAGTTTTGTAGATTAGGCTTTCTTTAATATAAAGGTGTCGTCATGGATGAGTGGCTACGTTGTTCAACATGTATTCAATAGATACTATGCTCAAATCTCGATCCCATCAGCCATGAAATGACTCTGGACAAGTCACTAACAGCTATTTGTCTCGGATCATCCATCCGACAGCATGCTTACTATATTGTGACAAACACCTGTTGACTTATATTTTCTCACATGATAATATATACATTGCGCATAACTCAAAAGAATAAATGTTTATTCCTGTATAAAGATTTTACTTCCAATATTAAAAAAAAAAGTTCATTTTCTTATTAAAAATTTTTCCGGTAATTTTCGTAGTGACTATTTGTTTGTTTAACTATATGCCAATTTTCGAAGATAAATATTTCCATTAGATCTCTTTTTTTTTTAACAATATAATGATTCTAATCATCTGTAAAATTTGAATTTAGCATAATCTCATCTCAAATATTCGAAAAAACTGTTCATATAATTTTCAAATATCTTCTATTTGGCTGCAACATTTCTTGCATCATTTGGTGCTTTAGGTTATGTTGAATATGCCTTATTGCAAAATAAACCTGTGGCATCATCGCCTAATCTTTCATTTTTACATCTAATTGGTGTTGCTGGTGGATTTGGTATTAGTTTTTGGATGACAACTATTCATGGTAAAAATAATTCATTTGATTTCTAAGAAATGAAAAATCTAATTTAGGTCGTGCTGTTCAATGTATGTTAACACGTGAAGAATTGGCAACAGTACAATCACATTTATCAGCTGTTTATTTTCCACCAACAGCAGTTTTAGCTAGTTTAAGTTTAGGAACATTTTTACTTCGTCATCCATTGAAAATATGGTCGAAAGAAGCAAGAAATTTGGTTTGTATAATAAAGACACAAAAAATCTCATATTAATAATAATATTATTTCAATAGGGTATTGCATTGTTTGTTGCATTAGCTGCAGCTGAAGTCAATAGTCTTGTTCTTAATTCATTGGTTACAAATTTAATGTTTGATCGAAATAATATTGAATTTCTGCAAGCAGCTAAAGTATAAATTATTTTTTTGTCTTCGTTTGATTATTTAATAAATAATTTTCTATTTATTTCATAGACAAGTGATGATATTGAAAGATTAATTCGTAATGATTCAAAATCTCGTGTTGTAAACAATAAATTTTTGTAGACCTTTCTTTAGCCTTATGAGAAAAGAATAAAAAACAACTTATTAATTTTTTTTTCTTAATTAAAGCATTTATTAAAAAAACATCTTTGTTTTCTTACAGATAAATGAATGAAAGTATTGAAGATTCATCATCAAGTTGTGATGAAACATTAATTGATAAAGAAGATCTAGATAAATTTACATCAACATTAGATCAATTTACACCTACTATACCTGAAACAGTAACAAAATATTATATGAGACAATGTGGATTACAAACAGATGATGATCGAGTTGTTAAATTACTTTCTGTTTCTGTACAAAAATTTATAACAGGTATTTAAGATAAGAAGAAAGTTTAACAAAAAATCTTTTGATTTGTTTTGTAAGATATTATTAATGATTGTTTTCAATTACATAAAATACGTGAAAAATCTACTAATCGACCAGCACTGACAGCAGCGGCTGCCGCTGCGAATGCTCAACCTCCAACAACTGAAGCACCAACTACAACTACTGATCAATCGGCAAATGCAACTAATGGCAAAAAACAAATAGCATCAACAAATCAAAGATTAACACTGAATGATTTAACACATGTTCTTGGAGAATATGGAATTAATGTTAAAAAAAACATTTTATTACACATAATGTAAATAAAAAATTTTTTTTTCTTGTTGATATGTAAAATCTTTTTCTTTTTGATGATATAATAAAAAAGGAAATTTATTTTTGAAGTTAACTACATTGTTATTCAACAGAATAGAAGATGTAACAAAAGCTGAATATGAAAAGCAATTAACAAATAGAAACAGAAATAAATACAAGTGAATTTTTGAAATCGATATATTGAAATAACCAAGCATTTTGTCTACTCAGACTCATGATAATAATGTTAGTTATACAGGCTAACGTCTAAACACATCAAAAACAGACTTTTTCTGTTATTCTAAAGGGTAAAAAAAAATGTAAATACGACAATCAGGGTTGTTAATAATACAATTCGATTTTTTATTTTTACAAGATAAATCTATCGACAAAGTTCAGCAAGTTATCCATTAAGAAAAAGGAATGATGGGAAATACATGAAAGAATATTAGAGACTTACCCAGAGTCAACGAAAATTTAGTTTTAATATACGAACTTTTTTGAATAGTACGTTTTATTATCTGATATTTCCTGTACAAAGTGATGCATTTTGGAGGTTCTAACAATGTCTTATCAAGGCTTATGGACATGAAACAAAGTCGGAGTCAAATTCAACTTCGATTTTCTTTCATGTCTATCAGCCTTGATAAGACGCCGTTGGAATGCCGCAAAAAAAAGGATCATTCTATACAGTCAATATCAGAGAAGAAAACTTACTATTCAAAAAAGTTCATATCTGAAAACTGAATTTTCGACAAAAAAATTTAGTTGACTGCATGCAGGGCTCTAGTATAATATCTATTATTGTATTTTGAAGAAAAAACTTTTCAAATTGAAATATTTCTCATTAACCTCGATGAAATACACATTTCATAATGAAAATCGTATTATTTCATTATTTTATCGAATGATAAATTTTGAAGAATTGATATTATTTGTATCAATAATAAGACTTGACTCGACTTATATTTTGATGAAATTCTTATTTATATATCACGATTAAACAAATTTACTTTCAGTATTAGCAAAGTTATTCTTAACAAGAATGCTAGCATTGATCTTTCATTGCAAGAGGATATGGACAAGTTGATTTCCATATGTTAATACTAGAACAATGAAGGTCGAAAGCAGATCGCATATCTAAATGTTTCCATATCAATTCGAATATTGCATTCATCTCAACAATTCTTTGCAAAGTAACATGTTTGATAAAGTTTGAAGCTTGTTAATGAATGATATCCTTCCTTTCGAATATCAATTCTTCAAACTTTGCTTATCTCAAAGAATGATTTATATGTAATAATCAAACACAAAAAGACAAGCATAATTTATTAACAACGATTATATTTCCTTATATTACCCTTCTCAATCTGAAGATAGCATATGTGAATTATGCTGAGCAACTTCTCATTGATAAAGAAAAAAAAAGTTCATTTGCCTAGTTGACGAATACTTAGCATCAAATAAAAATCACTTGCAATAGTAACAAACAATTTCATCAATGATGTAGCGCGTCTCAATTGTACTAAATTGAAAAGTCTTAATGAAGGTGTACCGTTTCATTTTGGTCAGAAAACGTTCAGCAATATTTTCCTTTATTATGAAGATTACCTTTTTTTTTATAAAAGTTTGTCAACGTTAAACGTGCTGCGATGGTCCTGATAAGAAAGAAAATATTTCTCATATATACTATACTGCAACAAATATTATGATTATTTTGGTGTTAAATAGTAGTTATTTATCTATGGTGTAAAGAATAATGTAAATATTATCATTTTTATTAACAATAATCATTTTTTCTTATTTAATATAGAACGACTAAAACATGTTCTTATGTGATGTGTAGAGCGAGTCTTGAACTTAGAATAATCTCAAGAGGATTCGGACCTATAACTCGTCTTGAAAGAATAACGATAGTTTTGCTTGATTTTTTCTATGGGATGGAGTATTGGCTGGAAAATTTTTGATTCGAAATTTTGTTGATAATTAGATTTCATGATCCTAAGAATATTCTTAGGATTAGAAGACCTAATTAATGATAAAATTTCAGTTGAAATATGTTGTGTTAAAAATCTCCTCGAGATTCTCTCCATAAAGACAAAATGAAGCTCATAAAATTTCTTAAATTTCACTTAGAAAATCAAGTTGCAGATTTATTTTCTTGAATGAGAGTTTCTGCTGTGAGACATAACATTTTGTATTATATATAGTCAACAGAAGCATTAAAAAAAATAACCATGTTCATTGGTTAAAGTAGGTAAATTTTGTAAATCATTTTCATTATTAAAACCAAAAAAGAATAAATTAAGATTATGTAATGGTTTAGCACGATATATTCGAATAAATTCTGAATTAAATTGACGATTATTTTGGCATGCCAACAACGTAAAAGTCATTCTTATGTTAGAGTATCACTTCTTTCCATCTTAAATGCTGTCTAAAGAATTTACCAACAAAATCATTAAATATCTTCATAAGAAAATAAAAAATTCTTTATAAGATATTTTTCACCGATATTTGCATGTGATATAACATATGTTACTTGATCACTATAATCTTTTCGAACAGATTCGCTAAGATAATGAACAAAATCACTAAAGTCGATCGAAAACAAAAAAAAATATTATTTAACAAAAAAAATTAAATTTTTATTAACTTGCATGTGTAACTCTTCGAATTCTAACAAAGCATATGACAGCTGAAGATAAATGTTGACAATATCATGGTCGATCTCTTCTTGGTACAGAAATATTCTAAAAAAAATTTTTTATAATTCTAATTTTAGGAAAAAAATTTTATGTTTTTACAATTTCTTTTTCCGCACATGATAATACAATTTCAGAACGAATTGTATAAATATCTTCATTTTCTTTTACATATTGAAATATACAACATCAAATGAATCCACAATATAAATACGTAATTGACGTTGTGATAATAAAGTTTTTGTTTCAACCAATGTACGAATTACTTGTCGTTCATCATTAATACATTCATATACATAACGATCCTCAAGTGACGAAAGAATTCGTTTATTGGAACAAGCAGAACCGATAATACACAATGTAATTGCTTGAAATAAAAATAAATAAATTTGATTAAAAAGAAACTAAGAAAAAAAATATTTACTTCAATCATTCGTATTTGCTGGTGAAGTATTTTTACTGCTTTTTTTAGAATTTATTACGTTGATGAGGAATTTTATAAGTCGAAGAGGATGGAGAAATATTTTGTGTTGTCATTTTTTTTTTGGTTTAAAGAACATCTCAAAAATGAGTTGAGTGACTAGATCTAAATAAAAGATTGATTGAAATGAATAGACATTATGATTCGCTTTTTCTATTACGATTAGTTAGTGGAATGCTAGGTTCAACAAAACATAAAAATTACGAATCAGAAATTGAAATTTCCGTCATGGATCAAACACTGGTGACAACCCGCACCGTAGCCTCACCTATCTGTGCTCTCATGTGATTGGTCAGTATAATTGAAACAGCCACCAAATTAGTAGCAACAACAATGAACGATGTTCTCACGATATCGTCCTTTCATTCGGATAGACAACACACATACAAGAGATCAGCGGAATTCTGCATAAATCCGTTCCATAGTTGCATTTTCTCGCTCTTCGTGCTCACAGAGTCATCATAAACAGAATGACAACAACCGTTCATCACACAACGTAAGTGATGTCTCATTGACGTTTGCTTACAATGTGTATTAATTTCTTTGTTTCCTATTTCAGGAAAAAGAATCCATCGTCATCACCAAAAAATATTTATTTTGCAAGCTGCCGTACTGACTTTCTCAAATTGGTCGAACAAGCACATGGATTAAATGTCTCGCGTTTGTTAGGAGACCTTGATATCGATTCAGCTCAATGTTTGATTGCAGTTGATGTTATTTCAGTAATTCAATCTGACACAAAATTTATGAGTTTTGAAAGTCGGGAGTATGTGTTCGAAAATGGTACGAACAATCTTCGTAAGGCGGTGAAGATCAATCTTGAGCGTTTTGTTCAACAAATGAAAGAGGTAGCTGGTCAAGTTTGTGATGGAAAACGTCCACGATCAACGGGTAAGTAAAAATATATTCGATTAAATTGGTGATCTTACAAATTTTTAGTAGAGGATGACAGTTTATCTTCTTCATCGTCAAATGCCTTTGCAGAACCGTCAAAACGAAAGAAGATAATTGTTGCACGAAAGGTCAGCGATGCTTTTCAGATATCAATACACGACATACTCAGTTCAAATGCTCTTTGTTTATTTAGATTAAGCATCGTACAGGATCCTCTCGAAGTGAGTACGCTTATCAAAAACTGTGAGAAATATAGTTACTCTTTACTCTAGAGAATGAATCCTTTTCCAGCGGCGTTTATGGCATTCGGCCACCAATTTTCTTCAAAAATTTGAGTAGTGAAGAGCAACTCGAGCATAACATGACCACTGCTATACGAATTGACCATTTTCTGACACAATACTGCTGTATTCAAACAAGTAAGCTATTCAACAAGAATTCACGCATCCATTTGTTTTCTTGTATTTCTAGAGGATCTCACAAAAACAAAAGTAATTTTGCTTCACGATTTTAAAGTTCATGAAGAACAACTCTATGAGATGTTCATGTACTTACGCAACTCATTTGGAGATGCAGTGAAGGAAAATATCGACAAAAATAATCTTACCGCTTCGCTTGTAAAAATGCTTAGTGGATTTGTAAGTGTCACGTGTTTTGCATTCTTCCAAGTGCACATTAAATTGTATTTTTTCATTTGCAGAAGCCAATTGGATATAATCAAACGTAAAGCTTCGTTCGTCTTCGATTCGGCGCTCTTTCTTTATGTGTGTTGCTGTCTATGTGTTCATTATTCAACTATCTATGTTAAATTTTCTATGTTTTCTTATCCATGTACTATGAAATGATGAATAAAAAAAGGCTTCTAGACTAGGTAAACAGTTTCAATGAAGAAACCGCATGTTCAGATAATTCGAAAAAGAATATGATTTTTCTATACGACTTTCAAGAAACATACAGTTCATCTCGATAGAACGAGAAGGACACAATCTTACAAAACGGTGCGTATTCGAACCCAGGCACACAGCCTTATACGCATCGACTAGACAACAATCTTTACTTGGACAGAAACCCAGCTCGTCACAGGAAATACCTACGTGTATAGAAAACTACACCGTGAAGAGACATATTCGGTAAATCAACTAGCTTGACTATATCTAAATTTTTTGTAGAAATAAGTAACAAATATGCTCCCCATTGACAGAATTACGTCGTCTCTTTATAGCGTTCATTGGCTTTTAGTGGAAGCGAAATTGTTCATCAGACACACCTTTGCAAGTAGATACCACCAATGCAAGAATAACTAGTACCAACGGAAGACACTGCATTTTTCATTCCATTATTTCTACATATACAACGGAGAAAGAAATTTAAAATGTGCTTGGGAGCGTTGATTCATTTCTGCAATCTTACACACATTGAGGGGTTGATACGGGGTGTGGGTGTGGGTGTGTAGGGATGGATTTGGCTGTAAGTAGATAATTACCACCCACACTCTATAACTTCTTTTTTTTCTTTTTAACCTTCAGATCTGTTTGTTTTTCAGTAGGATATACAGTCAAATTCTCTATAACAAATTGATCAGAGTTATTTCTATGTAGCCTTAAGAAGGAGAAACTGAGCGAAGAATTCTTAACAAATAGAAATAAGCTCAGTGAATAAATGCGAAATCAATCTTACAGAGTTGCATCGGATTTCTTCTATTTTAAATATTCAAATAACTCCAGCACATTATGAAGATTTCACATAACGAAATTAAAGTAATCAAGGTTGAGCTGCAAAATTTTTTCTCATGAATTTCTTCTTGAATTCAGCTAGGAAAAAATTAAACACTGGCAGATTTGCGCCATATAAAACAAATAGAGTTCAACGTATTCAAAAATATCTTTAACACATGAGTTTTGTTACCTATCGAGTTGTTGAAAACACTCAGAAGACTTAAAACAAAATACCTTAGAAAATGGATCGTTGTCACTTTTCTTCTAAACTCCCTAAGTCTCTAAAACTATTTATTTGCATTTACTTAATCAAAAAGAAGCTAAAATCATTTGCAAACAAGCTTTGTTTATCTATTGTCATTTTTATATGATTAAAACACGCCTGTTAAATTTGGATAAAAAAGAGTTCATCAGTATCAAAATGATAAAATAAAACATCGATTGAAATATCGATCTAGTAATAATTTTATTGTAATTTTTGTTCAACTTTTGATTTCAAGTTCATTTATTTGATATTCATGTTGGTTTTTTAGATCTTGTTAATTAAAAAAAACTTATATTAACTACTAAGATATTAATTCTCTTTAATAAACTAAATTCGTTCATGATTACAAAAGAAAAACTATATGAATCATATTGCTTTCATAACAAAGTCCACGATCAATAAAAAAAACGAAATTCTTCCAATACAATAAGAAAAATTGATTTTTTTTCTCTCTATAATGTAGCACACACAGGGCAAAAGTTTATCAAACAATCTAGAAGAAAGATATTTGTTTATTTTAGTTTTTGTCGATCATCTTAAAATTCTAATACAAAATAACAATGTTAACAAAGACATTCGACTGATCTTGTTTTATTATGCATATCGTATATATTAATCAATGAGAATCAGCATTCATTTAGTTGTTGTTCGTAGTTAACTGATATGTTAAATATTAATAGAATAATAAGTCTAGGATTGATAGTAATATTTTTTTCAATCGAATGACAATTTTGTTTTGAGACAAAGTATAGAAGAGAAGTACAAATTAATAAAGAGATGTCAAATTGAAGAAGAGAATATTTGCAAGAAACTTTCATTGCAATCAAGAAATTTAATATGATCTTCTAAGGTTAAAAATAGAATCTTTTTTTTAATCATCAATATGTACTTGTAAATATTGAAAGAATAAATGACCAAGGAAAAATTTGAGAAACCATTCATTTGCGTCAAAAATACAGTCTGTAATCGAGTAGAACTTATTATTTCTCAGTTCCCGAAAGTATTAGAAAAATCTGTTTATTTTACATATTTTCATGAAACAAAGAAATAATCGAATAAAACTATTCTGTTTTTTAATCATGTAATATTTTTCCAAAGTAAGGATGTGAGTGTGAGAGAAGAAGACGTACTAACACTCACGCCCATCGAACATAATTTTATTGAATCACCTTGAAATGAATTTCGACACTAATTTCACATTTCAACGATGTAGTCACAGATGTAAGCTGCTTGGCTAAGCCGTCATCACTGCTTAACATAGTTGCTGAAGATTCTAGCCATCACGAGACAAAAATGGATATTTGATTTTCAATAATTTCTTCGTCATGATTTTCTCAAAATTAAGAAAATTCATTGAAAACTTTCAATCGCCGGCGATCAATGCATCGTCTTACATTTACACCACTACATGTAGAACATAGAATAATATGATAATCGTGAGCCAAAATTAAGCATCTTTTGTACAAAAATGGGAAAAAATATCTTATTGTCTTTTATCATTTAAAAAAAATGAAAATAATAATATTATCGTCGAAGATTGAGCTATAGTTTGACTTTAGTGTGTCAAAACTACAAAAACTATGATTTTTTAGTGAATCTAAAAAAAGACTGAGAAAATTTTCAGGAAAGTGAGTCTTTTTGAATAGCACATGAATTTTTGCACGGTGATACTTGCCTAAAGACTAAAAAATGTTATTAAATATTATTGAATATATTTCCGCGTATATTAAAAAAGAAACATCAATATATTTATTAATAATTTTCAATAATTATTTATTCCAAAAAGACACGTGTACCATGTGATTTAGTAGTTTTATTCTTTTCAAAGTAATTTGATTTAGTATTTGTTCGACTCCAAATTTCAACTTCATCATTATCATCATGATATTGTGAATTATCCACACCATTAAAACCATGTCGTTCATTTCCTGGAATAAATACACGAACTTTTCGACGTCTCACAATACTAATAGTGAGAATCATGATGATAATAAATAATAAACCAGTTATTATGATGAATTTCATTTTATTAGAATATAAGATAGATTTGGAGTTTTTATGTTTATGATGATGATGATGACTAGTAGAATTAATATCAGAAGTCGTAGTATCACTACTAATTGTAGATACACGATTAGTTGTTTGACTCATCGTGGTATGTTTTAGTTCATTTAATGCTTTAGCAGAATTTTTCGATGTAAAAATATATGGATATTCTTTTGTTGGACATTTTAATGATTCACCTATATGCCATGACCATTTTTTACCTCCAACAGGTTCAAGCATATTATTCCAAAGTGAAAGTGCAGCTACTGAATGACCTTTACCTAAAATGTTTTCAATAAAAATGAATCTATAACTTTTAGACAAAGAAAAAAACCTAAACTTACCACTAAAATGAAAACAATCTGGTGCAAAATAACTAAAATCAATTTTATGATTATCTTTATATAGGAGTTTAGTTTTAGCCATAAATGGTTGAATAACTACACTAAAATCATCACGACCTTCATATCGTTCAGAAGCAATTAAATGGAAGAGTGATTGATGATATCGTGTTATATAATTATCTAATGTTTTAGCTTGTTCAACTGTTGGAAAAGCAGCACATGGACATATTTTTTTATGAAGTACTTGACAAACATAATTATCATTACTAAGATCTTTAACACTACGAACATCAAGTACCAGAACAAGATTTATAAGTGTACGTGGTATTGAAGCATTATATAATTTATCCAACGTAGCACGTATATAATTCACATATTGTTCTGGTGTATGTTTATTTAAATTTGAATCTTCGCAAAAATTACATAAGTCATGAGTCTGAAATATTTATTCAATATTTAAAAATAAAATAAATAAATTTTTTAGTTTGACTTACACCAGCAAATAATGTAATAACTTTCCAATCATTGTCCCAATCACATAATTTCTTATCTTTTAACCGGTCAATAAGAAGTTCTGCTTGATGGAACATTTCACTCGACCTATCCCATGATTTAGCTATTAAAAAAAAAAGAAACTAAAAAGGTTTTCTTTGTTTAATCTAATTTTACTGACCAACATTGAGTCTGTTATTTGTAGCATTTTGATTATTAGAAAACATAGCCGATACTTTAGTAGAAAAACCTGTAAGTTGTGGATTATATTGTTTTAAAATATTAGGTAGAGAGAAAATTTTTGAATATGTATAATCACCACCAACAGACCAAGATATACCTGAAAAATAAATTTTTTCAACGAAATAAATAATGTCTTAAATAGTCTAACCTTGATTTTCCATTAATAAACCAATTGGAGTAATAGCATGAGCAGCTACACCAGTTGTTAAACTATCACCTATAGCAGCAACACATTTTATATCACTTGGTCGAAGAGTATGCACTGACGTAGGAATACTAATATTATCCGTAGATTTTTCAATTGAACATGGAAATGCTGCATGAGAATTACCATAGAGATAATCAGATTGGGAAAAAAGTTCTAGTGACCATTTGGTATATTCATCAAGAAATTTTTCATTATGACTAAGTTCTTCAATATAAACTTCATAGCTTTCAGCATCAAGAGCAAAATTCTTGTCGAGTAAAAATGTGTATAAAATAAAAATTGTAATAATAAGTTTCATCATTGTCCTTGTTAAAAAAATATCAAACTGCTTGTTGATGTGTACGAAGGTAACAAAAATATACTCTTTTGAAAATATGATAATAGATAAAGATAAGAAAAACTGACTCAACGACAGTTACGCAACATAAAAAGAAAAGACGAAAAAAATCTACGACAAGACGCAAGATAATGAATTACGAAGTACTGCAAAAAAAAATATCACGTATAAGTCGTCTGTTAAACTTTTGTAATACAGGCTTGTAGAAAATGTTACGTGTTGATAAAATCTTTCAAAATACACGGTAGCATTATATAGTACGAAACATATCAAATCTTAACATATCCAATTGTTTGTAAAATCTTGTATGATGTTTGCAAGATTATTCCATCTGAATGGGTACAGTAAACCTTCCTATTCTCTTTCAAGGATTTCCTCGGTAGAAACCATTTCAAAATTATTAGTCTCTCTAAACTGAACATCTCTGTATAGTGAATGGTAATGAATGGACTCGACAGCATTCACAATGGAAAGTTTTCATTGAATATTTAATAATGTTTTAGTTAACTATTACTATAAATGAATAGGCTTCATTTAAGGTTTCATGAAAATGATTTCGTTGAAATCATTCAATGATTACATTTGTTCTCTGTATTTCGTCACATGTGCATTTATTATTAAGTGATCAGAAGAAAAAAAAATGTCTAGAGTAAAAGCATTTCAATCAGAACTTCAGTTAATATTATTCATCTTCACTACTAAAAGTAAATTTTTTTTTCTTGTTGTTGCTTTTCGACAGTATTTCTTCCATTTACAAAGTAAATTCATATTAAAAAGCAACGCATACAAACACAATAATGTCATCGGAACGAGAAGTTGCTGATGCATTGCCTTCAAATTTTGATACTAATGGTTTATCAAATGCATTTAAGAATCCTGCCCAAGCATTTCGTATGTTAGATCAAAATGGTGATGGACGTGTAACAGAAGCAGATTTAAAAATATTATTAGAAAAATTCGGTATTCAAGGTGTAAGTGCTAAAGTATTGGCAAAATTTATTTTTAAAAAATTGGATGCTGATCGAAGTGGATCGATAGAACCCAGTGATCTTATACATGCTAATGGCATACTCACAAGCTTATTGCAAATGAAACAAAACTAACGATGGTTTTTTGAAATAGCTGGTGTTTGAAGAATAATGAACTTCTCTACATTTTAATCCCCTCTCTTTTAACAGTTGTTGATTCAGACTCGATTGTGTTTTTCTTTTGATAAAAATAACATTCATTTTTAGTCCGGACATGCTGTCAACTATCTTTTCAAGATGTTGAATTTTTTCGACAATTCTAGTTCTTCAGTTACTCCTAACCGTATCTGATATGCCGAGGATAATCTAAATCTGGAGAGAATAGAGGCAAGAACGTCAATTAATTTTCTTAGTTGTGATGATCGTTTCGGATATGGAAGCCTTGTCTTCATCCACAAACAAATGTTATATGACTTTTTCAACCAATATTCTCTTTGGAGCTACTGATCCTGATAACACGACGCACTTAGCATGATTGCTAGTGTAACATAGAAGATAATTCAAAAGAATTACTAAAACAAGTCTATGTATAGAATGTCTAAATCTTTTATTGGAAAATAAAAACAAAAAAAATAAAATAAAACATTTTTTATACACCGAAACCTGTTAATCCAACACGAGATGTTCGTGGTTCAAGTTTTAATGAAAGAAGATAACATTGATCTTCAGTTAATAGACGTGATCGATCTAATAAATAAGCACATACACGTGGATTATGTTTTATTTTAAATGGTGTAGATTGAAAACGATGTACTTCATTTATAATATGTGTTTTCTAAAAACAACAAAGTTAATTGAAATAAATGAAATATATTTTGATTTTTTTTTACCATTCGCATTTTCGAGAAATTAATTAAATTTTCAGATATATCTTGTGAACTTTCTTCAATAAATGTTAAATCAGATAAATATAAACCAAGATATGGTACACATGGTGGATCAACTCTATTTACATAAAAAAATTTTAATTTCAATTTCATTGTTTTGACTAACACTTTTTTTTTTCTTACTTTGTTAATGTATCACGTAAATTTTTAAATTTTCCATCGGAATGAACAAGATTTTGAAGTTTATTTATAACTTGTTTATTTTGTTTTGATATACGATCCCATGTTTGTTTTAAACGATATACAGAACTATTTACAAAAGCAGCCATTATTTGAAGAACACCATTAAAATTTCGTAAATATCGACATATATCAGCAACAGTACCTTGAAATAATTATATTGAAACTATTTATGTCTGAAATCAACATGGTCGATAACCTACAACTCATTAGTTCCCGCTCTCTCTGATTAGCAAAAGTAGATACATCGTGTTTCACTTTTTAATTCCAACAAGAATTATGCTAACAGTCTCTTTGTAATTTGAATAACCTGACATACTTGCGAAGTGAAATATATTTTTATTTTTTATTGCAAACCGTAACGCGACAAAATGTTCATTCATTTTTCAGCCTGTTTAAAAATCTTTCAGAAATTTGTATTGTGTCTGAATAAAATTTATGTTTTTCTTTTGCATACACTTAATGATAATATTATTCTCTATCAAGCGATGTAATAATCAAATTTCAAGGATATCCCAGTAGCTCGAAATTCCTATAAAAAATTTGCACCTATATTTGGACAAAAAAAATAACATTTTTAAATTTTTGCAGAAGAGGCCATCAGGTCCAAGTTCGAAACTAACTCAATGAAATCTATTCTGTAGGCTTCCTCAAAAGGCTGAAAAATGAATAAAGGATTTGTCTAATTACAATTCGATCATTCATTATTTCATTATTGTTCTCTCACTGAAAATGTTTTACTAGAATCTATTTATCAAACAGTAATCCAGACAACACAAATGTTCACTCTCTCGAAAAACATACACCATTTTTCAATACATTGGATACGAGCATTTATAGTTGGTTGTTCTAATATTTCTGTAATAACTAGTCGACACATCTAGAAAAAAAAATGTGAATAAATGAAGTATTATCAAACTTCAATGAATTGTTTTACTTCATTAAATCGTCTAGATACGAGAGCTACATTTGGTGCTAAATCATCTCGACCTGGTTTCATCCAACCTTGTAAAAGTAATTCTCTAGAGATAAAAATAGATATTTCAAATGAATTAAATTTGAACTTTTTTTTTTATCTTACTCGCTGCCTAATGCACAAAAAAGTTTATGATCAATTAATGTCATTTGTTCAGCAAGATCAGAAACAGCTATTTGATCAAATGTTGCATTTGAAATCTGAATATAAATAAATAATTTTAAATAAATAAATATTGAATTTCTCTATTATACTTGTTTTGGATAAAGAAGTAAACATAATTGTTCCTTTTTTTCATCTATTTCAGCTGTTTCTAATTGTTTTATAATTGCAACAGCAGCTTTATGTTCAGCAGCAATTAAATGATTATTAAATAACATATCTTGTAATAGTTCAAGAACCATCTATCAATCCAAAGAAACATTTTTCTATGATATATAGATTTAAAACAAAAGTGATCTTACTTCTTTTAATTTAGGATTGGTATGAAAATCCTAAAAATAAAGTAAAAAAAAAATGTAAAATAAGATCAGTTGTTAAATCCATATCAAATAACAATCTATCTTCGAATAGTTAAAATAGATTATGAAATCGATTAGATTTTCTGTGAAAAATCACAACTGAGTAGAACTGTTATACGAGAAAATTGACACAACAATGAATTCTGAATACTAAAAAAAAACTCATCTTTGAAACTACAGCCTCAGAAATTGATGCATGTGCAAGCTAGAGCATTGAATATTGTACAAAAGAAGATATTAATTTTATCCCAGAAGAAAATTCTAAACATATATGCAGAAAGAGCGAAGAAATCCGCTGTAGATACGTCTAATAGTCATCTTGACCGTTCTGAAATTTTCTATAAAAACAAATGCGTGAAGATACTATTTAAATTCTTCAAATAACATATCATACTTACTAATGGATGTTTTGTAAGCCAATGTCGAAGAACATTTAGAACACGCATTGTTGAAGCTGTATTAACAATAATATATTCATTTGCTCTTTGTTCTCTAGAACTTAATGGCATTGCACTATTACTTGTTGTTGCTGTTTGCATTGAAATAGAACCACCACCTTTTTTATTTTATAAATAGTTAAAAAAGAATATTAAAAAAAAAAAAAAGCTATTTTTTGTAAAAAAAATATACCTTGATTACTTGCTAATCGTTCATTTCTCATACTTTTTGGTGATTCACCGGATGTAGCAACAGCAAATGCTTGTGTTGCTGCAGCTGAACTTATTCGACGACGAGATGATCGTGATGATGTAACAACAACACCAGGTAAAACTTTTTTAAATGAACTTTCAGCTGCATTACGTATACTTTGACGTGGTGATGAAAGAACTTCACTGAGACGTTTTGCTGACAATAACAAAATGAAAAAGATTATTATTTGTTTTTTTTTTTAATGACATACAAAGTAATTGAACATTTTGTGATGTAGTAGCTGATTGTGTATCAAGATGTAATCGTTGTTTTTGTGTTGGTGGACTATCACTTGTTTGAAAACGAAGAGATTTTCTTTCTTCCTATAGATTATATTTACATTTTTGAAAATAAAAAAATCTTTCAATGATTTAATAAATATTATACTTTAATTGTATTGTTCATATGAGTATTTTCTGAATATTGTACTCGACAATGATTTTCTGGTGTACGTATAATATCAGTTTGAGAATCATTAATTATATTAACAGATGGAAAATCGAAAAGTATTTCTAATGAATTAAAATCATTATCTTTTGTTATTTGACTAGAATTTTTATCTATATTATTTGATATTCCATTATTAGTTGATAAATATTTTTTTTGTTGTTCATCACGACATATTGATACAACATCAGAAAATGTTTCAGATGATGCAAGTGGAGCTTGAGTAAAATTTAATCTATCAATTGATGCTGTTATATCCATTGATGAACTTGTTGGTAAACCAACACTTTTTTCACTATTTTTTATTGATAATTCTAAATCATTAAGTATTGAAAATATACAACAAGAATATTCTCTTGTAGAACGGAAATGGACCTGGAGTGAACACGTTTTGTTTTGTACTCTGTGATCTGACTGAGAACAATTATCTTGCCCTACGTCACATATCTTTACTACACAGTGACATAATTTTCAATCGAATGAGTTTCACAATTGTAAAAATGTTTATTTTTAATTAATGTTTAGAATAAATGATCTTATGATGACTTCTTAAAAGTTATCACAAGCAGAAAAATCTTACTAGAGAAGTTCATTGAGTAATAACAAAAATAATTATATTTGATTTCAATATGAAGTAAAGTAAGAACTTACTTTTTTCTTGAGTTCTTGCTGTTTTTATTGATTCATGATGATCGATACCTATGAATAAGAATAATTGATTTATTTTTTTTTTATCAAATATATTGCTTTTAATTTTTACTTAATTCTCGATGAAATGTTCCAATATGTGAATGTCTTCTTAAATCTCGTTCTTGTTCAGTTATAGAATTAGTTGTTAATAATTTAGCACCTTAAATAAATCAATTAATTAAAAACATCTTTTTTTTTTCTTATGTGTGAATTGAACCTTCTGATACACGTCGATTGAATTCATTATCATGTTCATTAATTAGACGTAATTTTTTGTCTCTAAAATAAAATTTTCAAAAAAGTATTTCATATCAAAATGAATAAATTTAATTTTACTTTTGTTGTTCATCAATTTTTTGTATTGTATTTGAATTAGTTCCATCAATTTCAACTGTATGATCAAGTGATGTATGTGGTGATGATTTATAAACTCGAATTAATGTTTCCATCACTGTATAAGCATCTGTATATAAACGATAAGTTAAAAGAAATGTATTGAGAAAATCAATTGATAGAAAACGTAAATCTGTTAAACGTTCAAGTAAACGTTCAACAGTTGCATGTCGAATCTAAGATTAGAAAGAAAGATTTTTTTTTTATATAAAGACAAAAAAAAGTTGTTTTTTTTTTAATTTTCGTAATATATTTTACTTGTGGTATTTTACATGAATCAAGTGTTTTAGA